TTAGCCTTTAACATCAGCTATTCAGGAGAAATGGATATCCAGGCTACTTCCTAAATATGCGTAAAACAAATTCTAGCTGATCGTCCACATGAGTCAGCCCTTTATTTAGTCTACTCTAATTCCACCACTAAGAAAGGAAAACAATAACTTCCTTAAAAGACTATTTCCCTTTGATAAGAAATCAAGTTCCACTAACAGAAAAGCAAAATAAGATATACCTGGCTTAGACTAAATTCCGCAACACCAGAAAGCATGATTTCGGCTTTAAGAGAAAGGTTAGGAGAGGCACTTGTTGGGAAATGAGTCAGTGGTATAAAGTGAATACTTAGAAAATATTTTTAGATTGATTATTAACTAGTCCCTAGAGTAAGATAGCAGCCTCAAGCTTTTTTTTTTATTATGAACTATAGTGAGAACATAGTTTTCATCACAACCTAAGTAAGCACATGTGCATACAAAGAACAAACCAAAGTTTAATGGTACAACTATTTTATCACCTGTAATGCACTGCACTATTCCACTTCTTTCTTTCTTTACTTTTTTATTTAATTAAAAACATGCTGGGGGCCAGCAGGTGGCATGAAGGTTAAGGCACTGGACCTCACACGGCCAACTGCACAGACTGAGTCCCAAACCAGGAGGCTTGAAAATCGTGCCAGGATGGATGTGTGCATGACCCAAATCCCGAGACTGGAGAAGAGGTCGCAGAGTGACCACCTTCCCCACAGGGGTAATTTCTCACTTTCCTCCTCTGTCTCTCTCTCTGTCTCTGTGTCTCTCTCATGATCATATGCACCCTATACCAAAAACTAAAACTAAACAAAACTGAACAACATGGTAGTTGTGCTTACCGAATTGATTTCATTACCTATTCCCAACTTGCTATTTTAGATAAATTGCTCCAAAATATCACAAGAGCAAAACCACTTCTAGAAACATGATTTCATCACAGTTATCTCTCTGCTTTGCTAATATTCAAGTAGCAACAGGTCTTAACATAATCATCTACGTGTGGGTGTGAGAAAATTTCTTCCCATGTCTAAGATCAAGTGAGCTCTTGATGACTACAGTCTCTTTAACCACAAAGGAGAGCTTGCAATTATTACAGAGTTCTGTCTGATGGTAAGATGAGTAGTTTTCCCAAGGTATCACTAATTCCAGCATCAGCCATACTTTCTAATAAATTTTGCTCTTCCTTAATTACATTTAACTTCTACTGTGTGTATTGCTGGAAGGAAGGGAAAAACAAGAACAGAAGAGCCGAGGTGGCTATGTGAGAGTAAAAAAAGGTAAAACAGACATTGTGAAATGGAATAGAACAATTATTAAAAATCTTTAGGTTTCCCAAAAGGAAAATGGAAAGTAACACTGTGCTGAAAGAAGTTGTAGCTATAAACCAGAAACACAAGACCAAGTTCTCAAAACTGTTCAATAATCTCTCTCAGCCTTATTCCCACCATATATAAAACAGATGCTTATGATATGACTAATGGTGTAATTAAGATAATAATACTTTTGTCTCAGCAGATGAAAGACATCTGAAAGTAAAATAAAAGGAAACACAAGGGACCCGTCAAAAATCTCTCCAGGGAAACTCTTAACATAATGTTTTCTATCAGTTAAAAATATCAATTAAGTCAGTTTGAATGTATGAAAATAAAACAAGATATAATATCTATGCCTCCACACATAAGTGTACTTTTGTCCATCAGTGTCCAAAGACATCAACTATTTCCATGTTAGTAGATTCAAAAGCCATGTCTGTGTATGCCCAAGATCCTGAGAGGAGAACAGTTGAGAAGGAATTGCAGTCTGACCATTCCCCCTGGGGGGTGATTTCTCATTTCTCTGTCTGTCTGTCTGTCTGTCTGTCTGTGTCTCCTCTCTGGTGACCACACATGGCCTATGGCAAAAACAACAACAAAACAAAACAAAACAAAATATTTAAAACCTTCCTAATTTATACCTAATATTTTTTTAAAAATCTCAAAACCTAATTCAGTGCTATTCTTTAATGTGCTATAAGTAAAATCAGTGAAAACTGTAGGTCTTGGTCACTCTCTAGCCTTATGACTTCATTGAAGATAAAAGGATCATTGAAAGGGTTGTGTGAGAGAGAAGGGTTTGCACTCCTCCCATTTCCTTTCCTTCCCTTCCTTCTGTTCTTTCCCTCTCCTTCTTCCTTCCTTTCCTTCTTTTCCTCCCTTTCTCTCTCTCTCTTTCAATCTTTCCAGGAAACATACACTTGCCAGAGAGAAAGAGAGAGAGGAGAGAGAAAACATTCCCAATGGGGTGCAATCATGCCTCGATCCCATCTCCTCCATCTTGAAAGGGTTTGGGGCATGCAGACATATGTGTTCAGTGTGTTTTTCAAGCTGCCAGGCTCGGATTCGAACTATGATCTGCCATATGGGATCTGGCTCCTGTAACCACAAGGTCACAGAGCCAGCCCTCACACATATCATTTTCTAGTTTCACAAATTATTTCCATATGTTAGGAAGATGAAGGAGCATCAAGGTTATATGCCTTCATCTGGCACAGCCCTGCCAATACCAGGTGTGTGGCTTTGGGTGGATCCCTTCATCTCCCAAGTTTTAGTCTCATCATCAGTGATGTAAGACAATGACAGTGTCCAACTCATAAGATACTCATGACCATTAAAGGAGACAATGTTAATAAACTATTGCGTACAGAGACAACCACATAATAAGAATTTGACATATTTTAATTGCTATATTTTTGTTTTAAAATACTACACATATTGAAGTATTAAGACTATTGCATCAAATTGGCTGACTGTCCAAATTCCACCACCGATTGGTTGTATGAACTTGAGAAGTCTCCCATTCTGTGTGCATCTATGGTTCTCATCTTTAAAATGACCAACAATAAGAGGGCGTGGCAAAGATATGAATGGGCCTGTTTGGGCCAAATGCCTTAAATTGCTGACAAATCTGGTTAGCACACATTTCCCAGTATTCTAATGCTCACTCACTGCAAGGCCAGCATATCTTGAAGTGGACTGTGTGGTCTTGGTCTTTGAGAGATTTACAAGAGCATGACCTCCCCTCGTCCTCCTAAAACAGCTGCAAGGTAAAAGAAGCTCCCAGAATTTCACCGTTTTCCTCACCGCAGGACACCTCAAAGCACTCGGAGTGCACAGGGAAACTCTAAGGGGGAATGTACATTGCAGCATTTCCCAGGGAGCAATTTCCTTACTAGATCTCTTCTGGGAATAGATCTAGGGACATGCTGGTCAACTACTGGGCTGGGCTCCTAATGGAACTCCAGAGAGATCCCATAATGTGGCTTCTGGGATTAAAGATCTGGCATGGAGAAGTGGACTTTGGCCTTTAGAATTCTAAAAATGATACTGAAATTGTCCTATGTGGCTCTGATCCTCAAAGCAAGACCTTTCCCACTGTGGTCATGAAGTGACAAGCACTTTGGGGGCATCAACAACAAAATGGAGACATTGGTTAAAAATAGTTTCTTGGGTCAGCCCTGTAGCCTAGGGGTTTTAGGGAAAGCCAGATTCCATAGCCAACTGCAGTTTGAATCCTGACCCTGGTGGTTTGAAATCCTCACTGGTCACATATGCATGCCCCAAATCCCAGTGGGATGGAGAAAGAGAGTAGAATGGATTGTGACATAAGCATACCCCATTTGGGGGTGCTTCCCCACCCCCACAATCTGTCTGTCTCTCTCTGGCAGGTGCATGTGTCCTCTGGCAATTAAAAAAAGTTATCTTAATTTAACAAATAAAAACGTAAGGGAAAAACTTGTTTGCACAGCAAAACATGTCTAAGACAACTGTGTACCTCTGTTGAATAGATGCTCAGGATAAGGAAGCCAGAGAAAAGTGGCTCCTGACCTTCACTAATGTCAGAATGCTGATGTAATCGTCCAAGCTGCTGTGACTGCGGTTAATAACTGAAAAAACTTCCCTGTCTTTAAAACACGCTACCTTTCCTAAACACGGTTTCATGTTAAATGAGTGTATCATCCATATTCAGATAAAATGTCATATTCCTATTGACTTTTCTTTCTGGAGTCCAGAAAATCTGACAGTTCCAAGGATAAATAAAAGTAATCTAAATTTTAGAAGTCAAAACTGTGACTATTTCTTTTGCAAACATGTGTGTTTTCACTTTCAAAGGTACTGTTTTTATAAGATTAGTAAGAACTTAAGTTATTAGAACCAAAAAAAGTCATAAATTTAAATATGATAATTAGCATTCACTAAGCATTTATTATAAAAATTAACAGATACAGGGTACTTTTTAAAAATAATGACTTCAGTTTATTTATTATTATTTTTCAATTCACCTGAGAGAGACAGAGAGAGGGAAAGTGGGAAAGCAAGTCACCAGGTCCAGGACTTGAACCACAGTCAGCCATATGGGAATCCAGCACCTCAACCACCATACCACCTGCTGTCCCCGATACAAGGTGTTCTAAGGTCTGTATATTAGCTTATTTAATCTTCGTGACATTTTATTTGATATATGATATTGACTTTTTTTTTAAAAAGTTGATTATGGGGCTGGCTCCATGACCTGGTGGTTAACACAGCTGGATTCCATATGGCAGGCTGCACAGTTCAAGTCCCATACTCTGCGGCTTGAGAAACACTCTGGGTATGTGTGCATGTGTGCCCAAAAATCTCAAAAGGAGGGGTAAACGGAGAAGAGACTGTGGTGTGATCATGCCATAAGGATGATGGGGTCTTTCTCCTCTCCCTTTTTCTCTGTCTCTCTCTAGTGAGCAGACCTGCCCTCTAGTTTAAAAAATTGATTATGAAATATATGACATAAATTATACACACAAACATAATAATATATACACACTTACGTATATAAAGAACAGTAGCTCCCAACTTCAACATGCATAGTCCATACTTTATAAGATAAGACATTTCTAACAAACACTATTGAGGCCCACAACACCCTCTCCTCACTGCATGTCTCTTATCTCTAATTTGTGTGCAAGGAAGGTGATGCTCACTCTTTTCTGGCTAGAACCATGGAGGGTGTTCGAGAGAAGAAAAAAGAGGGTTCCTGCTGTAACAGAAACTAAGAAAAAGGCTCTTGCTGTGGCGGAAGCCACCAAGATAAAGGTTCCTGCTGTGCCAAAAACCCTTAGGAAAAAGCAAAGGAATTTTGCAGAGCTGAAGATCAAGCGCCTGAGAAAGAAGTTTGCTCAAAAGATGCTTCGAAAGGCAAGGAGGAAGCTTATCTATGAAAAAGCTAAGCACTATCATAAGGAATACAGACAGATGTACAGAACTGAGATTCACATGGCCAGGATGGCAGGAAAAACTGGCAACATCTATGTACCTGCAAAACCCAAATTGGCGTTTGTCAACAGGATCAGAGGTATCAATGGAGTGAGCTCAAAGGTTCGAAAGGTGTTGCCACTTCTTCGCCTTCACCAGATCTTCAATGGCATCTTTGTTAAGCTCAACGCCTCAATTTACATGCTGAGAATCGTGGAACCATATATTGCATGGGGGTTTCCGAATCTGAAGTCAGTAAATGAACTGATCTACAAATGTGGTTATGGCAAAATCAGTAAGAAGCGAATTGCTTTGACAGATAACTCTTTGATTGCTCAATCTCTTGGTAAATTTGGCATCATCTGCATGGAGAATCTGATTCATGAAATCTATACTGTTGGAAAATGCTTCAAAGAAGCAAATAACTTCTTGTGGCCCTTCACATTATCTTCTCCACGGGGTGGAATGAAGAAAAAGACCACCCATTTTGTAGAAGGTGGAGATGCTGGCAACAGGGAAGACCAGATCAACAGACCTATTAGAAGGATGAACTAAGGTATCCACCATGATTATTTCCGTAATCTGGTCAGTATATAAACAGTGGCTGTTTTCAGACTGAAAGAAGAAAGAAAGAAAGAAAGAAAGAAAGAAAGAAAGAAAGAAAGAAAGGTGTTGCTCTGTGAAGTAGAGTAACTTTGCCCATGTGGCTGAGCTGGGATCTGGATCCAGCCTGAACCTAGACTGATCCAAAGACCACAGCACGGAATCACTGTGCTCCAAGGCCACCCCCCCACCCGGCCCCAGTCACCCATGTTTGAGATGAGAAGCTGAAACAGAGAGCTAAGACTGCAGCCAGGCTCACATTACTGAGCAGCCAAGACGGGATTGCATTCAGTTACTTGGAGTCAGACTCTCTTTGTTTCAAAATTAATATGAGGAAAATAGTCATGTTTAATTAATTCAGGGTTTCTTATAAAGGCTTTATGAGAAATTCTATCACCCTCTCCTCTTAATTATTTAAGAATTCCTTATTAGACTATTAAGAGAACAGACTAAGGAGGGAACTATTTCACCTCCAACATAAATTGCTCACATTCCTTAGCACTGCTAAAAAATGGTTCCTGAAAGAAGCTCTTTCAGTGGATTAAAGCGCTGCCTTGAACGTCAGCATGCTAGTCACCCTGGGTCTTGTCAAAATGCACAGTCTAGAAATTCTACATTTCCAAAAAGCTCTTGATAATAACTCTCATTCTATACTGGTCCCTGTAAGAAATATTCTGAGTAAAGAGACTAAAAGAACACTTAGTTTTTCCGTTTTGTTTTGTTTTGATAGATTTTTGCTATGAGGCATGTGCACTTACCAGGGAGACAGAGACAGAGAAAGACGGAAAACCATAAATCAATCCCCTGGGGAAAATGGCCATACCGCAATCTCTTCTCCTCCATTCTCCTCTTGGGATCTGGGGCACACACATACACATGCCCAGTATGAGTTTTAAGCCACCGGGTCCAGGACTTGAACCACAGTTGACTACATGGGACTTCAGTGATGTAACCATTACACCATCTGCTGGTCCCAAGAGCCCTTAGTTTATGTGGGATCTTGCAGTTTTTTGTTTTTTGTCTTTTGTTTTTTCTCTTTTTTGCCAGAGGGTGTTTGTGCTTGCTAGAGAGACAAAGATACAGAGAGAGAGGGAGAGGAGAAAGCACCCTACATGGGGATGGTCATGTCACAAACACAATAAAGCAGTGATTGCACACTGCATTATGGTCGTGGTAGAAATGGGGTGCACAGTGGATACAGTGCGCTTGGGTCACCCTGGGCCCAAATCCCACCAGTCCCCCTCTATAGAGACTGCCTTCTACAAGATTGGTTCCTGGTGTCAGGAAGGTTGGGGATTACTCAGGTTAGGAAACATTTCTGATAGCTGGACAAGAATGTCAACTTTGGAGTTGAGCATACCATGGACAATACACAAAGAAACAGGATGAGAAGGTTTGCATACATAAATGTATGGACTATACATAAGGAAAAAAACAATCAGTGTTTGCTGACCAGAAAATAGCAAATGTCTTGGGAAAGAGATGGCATCTTGTCATAATTAATAAGGTATGAAGTGTAGTTGAGAAAAAAAAAATGAACCTTATATTAATAAAACTCATATCCTGTTTGCAGTCTTAAAACTTGTACTGCTTTTGTACATTTCATATTCTGCACTGCTGGGTTTGTCACAATGCAATAAAAGCAAGGAATTAGCTACTAGTTAGAAATTTTTTTTAAGACTTTTTTGCTGGGACCAGCAGGTGGTGCGATGGTTATGGCACTGGACTCCCACATGGCTAACTGCAATTTGCGTCCCAGACATGGTGGTTTGCTTTCTCACTTTCCCTCTCTCTCTGGTGAGTACATGTGCCATATAGCTAATTTTTAAAAATAATAGCAATAATAAATCAAATTTAATACATAATTCTTAAAAAAAATTTTTTTTCTTTGCCATAGGGTGTCTGCAGTCACCAGAGAGAGAGAGACAATGACAGGTAGCAGGAAAGAAATTACTGCCAAGGGGCATGGCCACACTACAATCTCTTCTCCATTCTCCTCCTGGGATTTTGGGCACACATACCTGGCATGATTTTCAGGCCACTGGGTCCAGAACTCAAACCATGGTTGGACATGTGGGAGTCCAGCTCCTTAGCCACTATGCCAAATGTTGGTCCCGCTAGTAAGGATTTTGTGAAGGAGAGCTTGAGAGAGATTTTTGCTTTAGGGTGGGTGTGCTCGCCCGAGAGACAGAGAGAGAGAGACGGAGAGATAGAAAAAGGAGAAATCACCCCTCTGGGGGAATGGCCATGCCACAATCCCGTCTTCTCCATTCTCCTCTCAGGAGAGAAAACTCACGCCACATACACCTGGCATGAGTTTCAAGCCACTGAGTCTGAAACTCAAACTGTGGTCAGCCACCTGGAAGTACAGTGCCTTACCTTCTACGCCACCTGCTGGCCTCAGTTAGGATTTTTTTTAAAGTGTTCATATTTCTGTGGCAATTATAATCAACCTGAGAGGCCAAAGACTATTAATTTGAAACTTTATTGCATAACTAACTGTATTCCTCCAACACTCCTTTTCTTTAACTTGCTCTTCCAGTGGGCTTCCTTGTAAAAGCAGGAGACCGTCGTAAGGCATTAAGAATTGTTGCACAGAAACCTGTATCCCACCCTGGGCACACAAAATGAATGTACCTGGAGCAAATGATTCAATCTCTCTGAATCTTAGTTCCCTCACAGTTCTCAAAATTATTGGGATTAACTTAAAGCAAAGAAACATGATAGGAGCCAGATAGAGGTGAAGCCAGTAACATGATGCTTTGTGACACTGACCTACATGGGAAGGTTCTGGGTTTGTGTCCAGAGGCCTCCCTGAGCATGTCAGGCATATGTGTGCCCATGATCTGGGGCTGGATCACAGCATGAGGATCCTATTGAGTATGCAGTTTCCCTGTCTCTCTTTCTCTCTCATGGAAGAAATAAATGTCAATAAGAAAACTTTTATTTTTTAAAAAGGTATGATAAAATACATGTGAAGACAGTCAATCCATGGCCTGGTGGTTAATGGAGCAGAGATTCCCATATGATGACCATGCAGTTCAAGTCCCTGATCCAGTGGCTTCAAAAGATATTCAGGGTACATATACACGCCTAACATCTCAAATGTAGGAAAATATGGAGGGGAAGGAATTGCTACGTGGCCATGCCCAAGGGGAGGTGCTTTTTCCCTCTCACACTTGTTCTGTGTCTCTCCCTGACAAGTGTATATGCCCTTTGGCAAACTGAAAAAAAAAAAAATAGACAAGAGTTAAAAAATTTCATCTACATAAAAAACTTGACTGGGTCCAGTAGGTGGTATGGCAGTTGAGGGGACTGGACTCTCATGTGGCCAACCATGGTTCAAGTCTCGGACATGGTGGCTTGCTTTCTCACTTTCTCTCTCTTTCTCTCTCACTCTGTCCTTCTCTGGTCAAATTAAAGTAAATAAATGAATAAATAAATAAACTTCAATGAAATAATTCTTTAAGAAAGGTTTGACTGAAAAAGCCACAGTGATGACTGGATGCTTAAGTTACTGAGTGAAATGTTTATGGGGAAGTATTTATCTCGAGTAAGAGAAGATCAGTCCACAGATACTTTGCAGGTCATAAGGGAAAAGACAATGTTATAACGGAAGGCTGAGCTGACACTTCCTGAAGTTAGTAATCATTTTTAGCATCTCTAAAAGTAGGGCAATAAGGACAAGGACAATAACATACCCATCCTGTGTGATACAATCACAACTGTATACCGTCTTTGAGAACTTTTACCACAAACACTTAGCTTGAATTTAATCAAGTCCTTAGGTCTGACTTCGGATTTATACAGAAACTCAAGGCATAGTGCATCAAGGAAAAAACACACTATTCAGAAACAGTCCGTACATTTTAGGGCGTGAATTGTGTCACAGAACAACTGAACCTGATTTCCTTGCAGGAAAATAAAAGTACATGGTAGGGGTCTGTGATAGATTAAAAGTGATTTATAAGGCATAATCAGTAATTACAACAAGTGGATTTATTTGGATCCTTGTCTGTATAAACCAATGATTTAAAAATGTTGAAGATGTCAGACAATGGTGTAGCAGTAAAATGCAATGCTCTGTGAGGCAATCTCACATAGGAAGGTTCACAAATCAAGTCCAGAGACCTCTGAGTATGCTAGGCATATGTATGCCCATGATCTGGGGCTGGCTAAAGGCTGGGGCTTATATAGTGGTGTCAAAATCTTGTTGGGGTGCTGTTTGTCTCTTTGTTTCTTTCTGTATCTCCCACTTATGGAAAAGTAAATTATCGAAACTTAAAAAAATGTCTAAGATAACTGGGAAAATTTAAATATGACTTGACTATTAGATCATTTCAAAACATTATAGAATGAATCAGGCCAGCCAGTGGAGTGGTTAAAGCAGCTGGATCCCACATGGCCGACTGTGCAGTTCAAGTCCTAGACCAACAGCTTGAGAAACACACCAGGCACATAAAAGTACGTGTCCAAAATTCCAAAAGGAAGGAAAGATGAAGAAGAAGGAATTGCAGAGTTACCACTGCCCCACGACGGATGCTTTCTCGCTTCTCTTTCTCTTTCATTCTTGGGCAAGCATACACACTGTTTGATAAATATTTTTAAAAATAAATTTTTAAAAATGATATAATTACTGTGAGGATTCTCAAGTATTCTCATGCATCCTAGTCCTGTAAGAAAATGTTTAAAGATGCAAATGGAATATTTATAAGCGAATGCCATAAAGTTTTTATTAGATTTTTTGTCAATTAATAAATTTCAAAGTCTCAGATTTGTAGACCCTTCTGAACTAGCAGCAACAGCAAGGATGGAGCTATTCTCTCTGTAGAGTCAGGCCATCTCTTATTTTGTCTCTTAGCTAAGCAGGAGCTATCCAGAGGCAAAACAAACAAACAAAAAAGACGGTGGTGGAGGGACAAATCTTGGCTCGTGTAATTCTCAAAACAGGC